TCGCGCATTCTCATTAACGCAAAAATAACCAAGCAGATAATCATCACAACCACAACTATCGAGTTCGTGTTCGCGGGTTCAAATCTCAATGCGGATGTTTAGTCGTAGTCCAGTCGGTGAAGGCACATACAACAATTATCGATTAGGTAAGCACCTTCCAGGGTGTAGCCATTCTCCTTTCTCAGAAATATCTTCCAAAGGAGCACAAAAAAATGAAATGCTTTTTCCAAAAGTTACGAGTAACTTGACGACAAGGCGAGTGGCTGTTCGTAAAGCCAGAATAGGGCTGATAGCTAAAAATGAAAAAAAATGTTGCTCCCCCTACGAAGAAAGGCGCTTATCGCTACATCATTAATTAACATAGCTTGCCGTCGTCGTTTTTTGAAGCATTTTTAACCAAGAGAAATAGAAGAGTTTGGAAAATTTGTAGGCAAACGAAAGCTCCGCTTAGCAGATATAGATAGGAGAGGTGCAGTATTGCAAATGGACTTGGAACTCGTAGTACGTAAGCAGATCCTCCTAGCATATAAGTAAAAGGGGTCACATAGAACTAGGTAACTGATACGAGACTAATGTACTGTGAAGACTCGAAATCGTCCTTTATTTTGAGCTCACGTCTCCTAGATAAGCTAAGCTAGAATAAGATAAATCAAAATGATTAATAGGACGAACAAAGGGGTTGGCGCAGTCGGAAATCTGGCAAGGTTGAACAAGGTAACCTTGACGCAAACGTCATTCAGCTTCTATTTCCGTTCCTTCTTCCATTCCATTCCATGAAGTGTGTTGGCTGAACTGTGAACTTTCGACTAACGTAATTTATTATTTTCTATTCAAATGTTACGTTAATCCATTGGGTGTGCTTGTAGATGCACACGATGTCTATTGCAATCCTATACTCTTAGTATTATAAAGCAAAAAAAAAAACAAGGTGTGTTTCTGAAAACACACTGATTTTAAAATGAGCGTAAACGTGTTAAAGCACTAAGTATAACTATTCTCCGTGTGTTCCTGCTTTAAATATATAAATAATCAAAACCTTTTAATTTAAATGATTTGGAAAAAAAGGAATTCTATGGATTTATCGCTAAAATCGGGAAAAAAAGGAACGATAACGTTGTCCACAGTGACTCATTCGTCCAATTGTCCCTCAAACATAAATTGTCTTGAGAGAAATCTTCCCGAAGTCCGGCAGGCTAAACCTCGCCTGGAAGAGCAAGAGCCCTCGCTAGTAGTGAGCCAGCAGCCAAGACAGTCCATTGGAAAAGGGAAGGACATAGTGAAAAAGAATAAAAAACAAGGGAAAATAACAAAAGTTAGACTAAAATCGCTAAGGAACACAACGTGGAACAACAGCCCTAACGTTTAACGAGGAAACGTAAAAAAATATAATTGTCAGAAAGAAGAAAAGAGGAAACTCAAAGAGTTGTGCGGTGGAACAAGCGAAAAGAATTCAAAAGCGGAAAGCTTCGAAAGAAAAATTCGTAAAACTTTCAAGAGCATCGCACGTGTGTTTGTATCTTCAAAGGAAATACATCATAAGTATACAAACAACATGTATAGGCAGTTAGCATTACTTCAAATTGTAAGGGTCCTTATGGCACATCATTTCAACTTCTTTGTTATTTTGTGACAAAATTAAGCAAAGTCAGCAAAACCATTCGTTAGGCTTGTGCATGCTTTGGTTGCGGTCATTGTTTCTTGCCGTAGATACCATTTGAAGAGCGACAGCTAAGATGAAAGGTTGATTTGCAAACCAATCTCTTGGCAGTTGTGTCGGTTTTTAAGAGAAGTCTGTGCATCAAAAACTTAAGAATTTCCAAGACGTGGAAATCTAAGTGAAAAACTAAAAGACAAGAAAGTGAGGAAACAATGAAGATTACAATCGAGGCAATCCCAGAATCACGTCGAAGTTCGACTTCTCAACAAGCTTTTACCCCGGCAAGGAAGATAACAGGTAACGAATTTGCTTACTTGCCTGCTGTTCATCTTCTGCCAAAACATGCGTTACTTCCAACCTGCGGAGCGATAAAGAGGAAATTTTAAAACGGATAAGATTTCAAGTACACGCAACAAAATTAAAGAAAAAGGGAAAAACTACCTGGCAAAGTTACCGCACCAAAGTGCCGACGTTTGCATATTCATTGAAAGTTAAAATCTCTTCTTTTTATTTCACTTAAGTTAACTCTTTTTTTTTTTTTTTTTTTTTTTTTTTTTTTTCGTTACTTTCGCGCGTATGCAAATTATAGTTAAGAACTTTAAGACAGATAAAGTTTAAAAAATTATGACTTTTGCCTAATTGGCGAGTATTTGAATGAATACCTGAAATTTTTGGATGAAGAACGGGAATAATTTGTTGGAAATTAAATTGCGTGGAATTATTTATCAAATTTGGTTACATTATGCAACTATTTGGACAAAATGCAGATCGTATACCTATTGTTTGCAGATTTCTAGCCCTAATTTGTCTTTCATTAAGATGTAATGTTTTGTAAAAAAAAATTATTGTTTATAGAAGAGAGGCTTCATTGACTGTCATTTGTTGTTAGACAAAATTTTCACATAGAAATTTTTCATATAAATACTATGGCTAAACAAAAATCTTTTATAAGAGTGTTTAAGCAAAAACATCATGAAATTTTACATGGGATTACTTCTTTTGCTTTGTTGGTTTCGGGTTGCCGTCTCAGTGCCTCTTAATGATGCTGCAACTGCCATTGAGAATGTGGATCAAACACCGTTATCTCAACAAGTTGAAGGTGCAATAGAGCAAAGCCGCCGGCAACCACATTGCATATGTTGCTCATGCGGCATAAAAGTCGCTTCCTAGATTCAGTTCGATCAGCCGCTTGAAAGATGAAAGTTTTTTTCTTTGTACATTTTGTTCGAAATCGAATCAGTCCTCGCTTTTTACAGAGTTTAAGACCAATGTCTTTCATTGATAATAGTTTATAGGACTCTGTTTACGTCTTACGCGACTGGTCCTGTAGGATATGTAAACTTTGTGCGGATGTATATTACATTCAGCCGTATTATCGATTGATGTAGAATCATGTTTTATAGACTTGTCTATCTGTCCGGTGTCTGTGTACGCATTTTTGTCTTCAACGTGCAGTTTTTCGAACTCTATTGAAATGGGATTATTTGCCACTACTTCTGCGACTAACATTTTCGAAGAGTCGCTATGCGACGCAATGTCAATTTTCAAAATTTCTCCACCAAAAACGCTAAGCAATAGTCTTTTGCAATTTTTAATAATGTGGGCGGGAAGAAATGACAATCTTTCCATGTTCAAGCAAGTTGCCTTTGTACATCAATAGCAATGACCGAATGAGTTTTTAAATTAAATGTACTTCGCGTACAAAATGAACCAAAACGTCGAGCTTACAGGGCCTAGAATAAAGCTGTGCTACGTTGACGGCTAAAAGCCTACAGTACAGTTAAATTCGAACTATAACTTCATACTATAGGCGATTTTTTTCTATAGCATTCATTATGTTTCCAAATCCAATCATAATCCTCTATATCTATCATTTCTCTCTTTTGCACCTTTTCAAACAGCAAAAAAAGTGCGCGTAAAGTTTTGCAAATTTTGCTGCCTCGCTTTACCTGCTCATGTGCTTAGAACATAGAACGCGTATACAATCATTTACTGTCCATACCAGTATATATATATATTTATGTATGTTTGCACTTTTAACAAATAGTAGGTATAAACTTGTTAGTCAACCATCAAAATGCATAAGTTGTTATTATTGTTGCTTTTCACTCAATGAACATTTTATGCTGCACATTTAACCGCAATTAAACGGATGAAGGGAATCAAATTACCAGCAATTTGTTCGTTGTTGAGTTGAATGTGCGGTAACGTGGATGATTGTGTTAGTCACAATGATGGTGTGTTCATGCGATCCAACAAGCATTCTCAAATTTTTCATTATTTCACGTCAGCAACAAATGGAATTCGTAAACCGAAAATGGATGCTTCACTGTTTTCATAAATGTGTTTGTTGCTCCCTTCTTACTAAGCGAGCATTAGCTTTGTTATTGTGTATCTAGAACAACGGTAAATTAGTATTAACCTCTTTCATGTATTCTAAACCTTCACTTAGCTGCTTTGTGCTTCTACGGTCGTATAATGTGCGGTAAAAGTACGCATACAAGTGTCTTGTGTTTATTTTATTTAAATATGGATTTAAAGTGACATTGACGGATATAACTTCCTAAGACGAAGGCACTTTCTTACCATAAGCAGAAGGCAGATGCTTGCAATCCGTTGTAGAAATTAATCTAATAATCATAAAACTTGAATGTAGACGTGGCAAACACGCTTGCACACGTCACACACATCAGTCAGAAATTCGCACACACATTCGTTTATGGTCTGGGCGTTTAGAAAGCGTCTTATAAACTTAACTTAAATGAATTGTGATCTACGAAATTCGTCGATATATTTTAAGCTTTCTATAATACAAGCATATAATGTAAAAATGATCCGCCCACAATTAACCGGATATTTTATGATTTAATAGTTTTATTTAATAGTTTTAAAAGATGAATGCCCGCAGATCCACGATCCACGCAAATATTAGTTTCTACTTAATAAATTTATCACATGTCTGCATAGTTTTTGATGGCACTGTATACATATTTCGAAAAACTTGTTTATGGTTCAATGTTTTTCAATTTCCATTTAACTACTTTTTTGAAATTTGAATAGAAAAATTTTTTTGGTTAGAAGTTGGATTATTTCAATTAGTTAGATGAAGTGTGCTCAGCTAGTGCGCACCCTAAAGTACTTGACTTAATTAGAGGTTTTTAATAGAATTATTGGAATAAAAAACTTGTTTTTTTTTTTTGCGCAAGTTTTACTTTCTTTATTCATCAACATATCAAGAGTTGAAGCTGAAAAAAATGGGGGTTCCCTTCCAGCAAAAGAAAACTTACTGTAACTGTAACTTTTATTTTTTTTATTTATTTATTTTTTTTTGGTTTAATTTTAGGGCGGTGAAGTTATACAGGAGAGCATTACATCTAACGTTAGCGAAGATGTAATAACTTTAGAGTTTCAAAAAACCGATGGCACATTAATAACACAGATCATTGACTTTCGGAATGTAAGTTAACTTGCAACTGATTGCTTTTTTTTTAATTAACTAAAAAATAATTGAAAAAATTTTTTTTTCAAATTTTTTTCTCTTCAAATTTTAAGGAAGTTCGCATACTTAAGGCTTTGGTATTAGGCGAAGAGGAACGTGGACAAAGTTTATATCAAGTCATGTGTTTCGTAACGAAATTTATTAAAGGTGATTTTATATCATCGGATGCTATGGCAAAACTAAGGCAAAAAAATCCCAGTACGATACGTATACCGGAAGAAGATAAGGGCAAAGAGGCCTTCATAATGACTTCATGGGTACATTTGAATCGTTCGATGGCCATATCGCGGCATTTAATGACCGTTTGCAGTGAAGCCTTGGATGCCACATATATCCGAAATGTAGATCTAAAAGCTTGGGCAGAATTACCAGGTAATTTCCATTAAAATAAATATTTCAGCTATCAGTTATTTGAAAAATTATTTAGAGTAAAGCAATAGTGCTGCGTATATTAAATTTGAACAATTCATTGGAAAATTAGTTCTGTTGCATAGAAAAGTAATGTAAGTTGCTTTCCCATTTTTCGTATTTCTGTCTTTGAAAGGTTCATCTATTTCTAATTTGGAAGCAGCCACCGAGAAATTTCCCGATACCTTAACTTCACGTTGCAGCGAAGTTACTAGCCTTTGGGCGCCTTGTCTATGTTCTTTAGAAACTTGCATTGGTTGGTATCCGTGCGGTTTGAAATATTGCAAAGGTAAACAAGGCGACTCGTCAGCAGCTGCTCAGACCAACTATCGTTGTGGCATTAAAACATGCCGGAAATGCAGTCAATTTACTTATTATGTTCGGCAAAAACAACTATGCCTCTGGGATGAATGACGAGAAATGAATACTAAAAGTACTTTATGTACGAATCTAATCTTATGCTCAGTGTACAAAAATTTAAAGACAATAACCATCGATAGGCCATCAACTATTAAGCCGACTGCTATTGCCAATGTTTTGTGGCAGAATTTCTTTCACAATAACTTCTACCGTTTCGTTAATATGTGGCCAAGTGTTGTCTTCTATTTAGGTTCATCGGAATTTGCCGGAAAAAATCAAGATGAAAATTCAATTGCAATGAATAATAATTACAGATAACCGTTGGGAGACTTTTAATTTTATGCGAAAACTATCAACGATAACCGAATGAAATTCAACGAAAAATACGGCGAAAAGAAATAAGCACATGGACTACTTTTGGTGTGCGCGTGTGAATGTGTGTATATATTGAATATTACTTCTTTTTTTTTTTCTAAATACTCTCTTAAAGCGTTAAGTTTCGAACATATTTTTGGCCTTTTTTTTCCTAATTGATGAAGAATCCGGGCAGATAAGTTGTTTGCACTTGGCATGAATTGAACGAGGGAAAGAATGTAAGTAATTTAGTAAATCAATCATTTCCGAAGCACTAAGACTGAATGCTCCACACTTTCGGTATCTTCATGTCGAAGCTTATTGCTTAATGGGAAATAGAACAAAGGCTTCGATGTTTGTGGTGCTGTAAAGTGCGTAGTTTAAATTCAATGTTCCGCTGACTTGTCATTTCGTTTGCAAGCGAAATAGATAGTGCAGAAATTGTAATTTCGAAATTCGTTATCAACGTGTCTTATTGTTCACACTTCAGAAGAAACAAAAAGAAACAATTACGTGTTGTTTTAAAAGCTGCTGCATGGCCTCGTTACGCGCCGAACAAAAAATGATTGCGTGGGTCACGAACTGTCAAAACAACATTGATTGTATGCATTTAAATTTGGATGAACATATCATCTGCTTCGCGTTGTGCGTGAACGCAAATTCTTGACAAACTTTTAAAATTTCTCTGTGCGTCGTTTTTTGATAGACACAACAGTGATGTATTCATGAAAGCAAAATCAAATCGCACGGTTCATTTCCCAAGCACTATATGATTTTAGAGCATTGTGCCCAGCACTTTAGATGGAAAAACCGAGTTGGAACGGTGTTATATAAGAATTGCGCGAAGCTTGATCGCTAAAAGGGGAGCTTTGTATTTTCGAATACATATTTTGTTTTTCAAATTTAAAATTATGGGTCAGCTGTTTGTAAGTGAGACAATTACAGCCGTTTTCTCCTACAAATGTAACTCTGAGCAATCAATATTAAAACATATCTTGAGCTATTTAGCTTTCGGCTGATTTGATAGCTATGAGATTATGTATCTCGCAGATATTGGGCGTACGCGATGAAAAGAACTCATAACTCGAAAATGAAACTTAATATTCGCGTTACCTGCAGTAGGTTTAAAAATTTCTCAAAAAAATTGTAGACTAATGCATATTTCTATTACAGCGCTTCAGTCGTTGTACATGTGCCAATTTATTAAGACATTGCCCATATACTTTGTCTTCAATTTTTCAGATTTCTTGGTATTAGCTCTTGTCGTAGAACACGCTCCGGGCCAACGTCCGGAAAGTAAGTTGGGCATTTCCACAATTGTTGATCGTATAGAGGTTAGGGAGTTGCAAAAACATTTAATTCTGACTGAAAGTTCAGGACAAACTTTTAAAAAAATAAAAAATGTTTGCAGCTCTGAAAAGTTTAAGAAATATAACATTTGAGAGCTATGCACCTCACACATGTCAAAAATTTGCTGAGGATATTGAGAGAAGACTCACGTAAAACTCTATAGAAAATGAAAATTTTTAGTTTAAAAATTTTTTTGAATAATACGAGCGATTAAAAAAATTAAGAGATTGGGAGCCATATGAAGTCGAAACATATTAAATACGCCTGTAAAGAGGATAACGAAAGAGCTCTATATATGAAGACATCGAAAAAGCTCTGCATTGTGTCAAGATAGTAGTTGTTTTCCAACCGAGAGAAAATCGCAAACAAGCTGCAATTCACAATTCTTAAGCAGAAACGAAATGAAAATTCTTTATAGTTACTGTTCATCACTGTAAATGATCATTGAATAGACTTTACGTAGCATGCAGGCTTCTTTTCTTTGGTAGTAGAAGGAACTTTAGCGTGAAGCTTTGAAAATAGGTTTCATTTTAGTCTGTCTTTCGACGGAATGTCAAAAAATTGTGCCAAACATAGGGCTGAGTTTATAGTACAACATCGTCCATTTTTTTTTTTAAAGACTGGTCTGCATGACAAAATGATAGTAAGTGCTTTCTGTCAACCAACTTACCTGCCTAGCTATCTTTACATTAACAAGAAACCTAACATTTTTGGTTATCTTCTCTAAAATGTGGCCTTAGAATATAAAATAAAAAAAATAAAGAAAAGATTAGTAATGTATAAATAAACGAGGAAAAAATAATATAAAAATTTCAAACAATTATTTAAACTTCCGAAAAAAGAATAACAAAAGGAAAACTTGCCCTTTACTTAGGTACGAAAAAAAGAAAGAAAAGAAAACATTAAATAATTGTAAAGCATCCCAAAAAAAAAAAAAAAAAAAAATTGTATAAAAAAATGGTAAAAAAAAATAAAAATTCCAAATAAAAGTGCAATTCTTTTCCAAAGCCAACCTATACAATTTATCATCAAGATTAGTAAAAAGCAAAAAAAAAAAAAAAAGAAGAAAAAGTAAATAATGAAAAGGAAACCATCAATAACTTCAAAACGAACAACAATAAAGGAACAATAATATTTATAATTAACAAAATTAATTCAAAACTAAGAAAAATTCCATACAAAAAAAAAAAGAAGAAGAAAAACCAAGCTCTTTGGAAATTTACATTAAATCTCCTCTTCCCACTACTATTTATATAAATGCTTTGAGATTATAAAACCTAATCAAATTATTTTTCAGAATTTCTTAAAATCTTTTTATCACTATATATTAAACATTAGACTTTAACTAGACATAATCCTCAATGATCGATTATTAGTTTTTCCCTTTAAACTTTAGTGCCATTCATTTTTAACTTTTGCTTCACATGTTGTACATATATATAAAATAAAAAGATTATAAAACTTTTAAAAATTTATGTAAATTATACATATACATATATATGAAAAAATTTACGACTAAACTATATATGTAGCGTTAGCTTTAAAATAATTGTAACTGCAAGTAAGTTCAAGTCAACGACTTAAGCATTGAAATTATAAAACCAATGTAGTGTTATCGTCATTGTATTTACTTTTAGTTTTAAAGTAATTAAAACTAGGAACTATATAAAAAAAAAAACAATAAATGAAGAATTTGATTTTATAAAAAAACAAAAAAAAAACTCATGGGTTTTTTTTTCAATCCATGAAAAGGTAGAAACATTATAGTGGGCCATGGACCACCACTAAATGCTCGACACAACATCACGGTTATTCAAAATAAGACTTTATATGGGAAGTGGTCCGATACGAACCATTTTCAATATCGTGATTCAATGGTCCTTGGACCGAAACACGTAAATATACTAAATTTGATCTAAATTACAGCAATACATTGCATATAAGAAAAAAAAGGACAGACGGACGGACAAACTTAGACCAATTTCGAAAGTAATTCTAAATCGATAGATATAATAGTGTGCTTGTCTATCTAAAGTGATCCTAGGTATTGGACAATGTGTGCATTTTACTTGTTTTAATGTACGTAGAAAAAATATAGTTGGCCACGGTCCCCACACAACCCTACAGTTATTCGTGCATTGAGTGTTTAAAATAAGGCGCTATAAGGGAAGATGGCGAAAAAGTGGTATGGCCCAAACCATTTCTAATAGCGTCGCCCTTGGGTCAAGACCTGCCGGTGTACCAAATTTCACCAAAATATTTTGAAAATTGGGACGTGTAGTTTGAACACAAATTCACAGGAGCTATTATCAGACGGACAGACAGCCTTAGATCGATTCAGAAAATGATTCTGCTTGTTACATACGTCCGCACAAACTTAATATTCCCTCTTCTGGTGGAGGGTATAAAAACACTACTAACTCCACCTCACCTTCTTTTAGTATCCATGTCTTTTTCTCATAGCGTTCTTCTGGGAATTTGTTTCGGACAGAAGGAGAGGTAACAGAATAATAGTTTTCGGATATATTTAAATAAAAAAAAGAAAATTATTTCCGAAACGAAAACTGAGGAAAAATTAATTCCAGGGACTTAAGCTTACAAACCAAACGCACATTCAATCACAACAGGCAAGGAAATATAGATTTAAGTAGGTCCTGGAGTGGGTTGTCGTTTTAGTTCTTTATTAATACACGATTTTATGCTCTTTGCTCCATCACCTCACTCGTCATACTCAGCAATGAGCGTAAGCAATAAACATTTTTCTCATCGATTTGATGAGATTTTTCTCTTCGTTTGCCGCCTTAAGTTCATGTGAAACGTAAAAATTGAAAATTAAACGTAATGCATGCGATTACGGCTTAGGTTTATCGACAAAAGTTTGAGATATGCGTGATGTGCTTACAAATAATCTCACAAGTTCTAAAATTTCGTAAAAGTCTTCATTAAATCAATAACTTATAACCTATGGCACGTAAGGATTCGATGAAGACAACAAATAGCTTTACGCTTGGAAAATGTGCCATAAAAAAACGCGTTTTACTGAGACTATTTACTGATATGTATATATATGTATATATAATACAAGCAATAACTGCTTATGCTTTCAAAAAGCTGGGTATATATCACAGCCCGTGATTTCATATTAAGTTTGATATTTGTTCTTACATCGTCGTGCGATCTCTTCCGTTCCTATCCTTGATATTAGAACAAAAAAATGCGGAAATATATTCTCATTCCGATGTCGGCAAATTATTTTGTTGGTCACCCAGTAAATACTTATGTTTTTGATGTTGGGCTGTTGGGGGCATATATGAATCTTTAAAAGCAAAGTTCAAACAACGAAAAACGAAATGGTTTCGTGAGCTAACAAATTGCAGAAAAAAACAAAAAAAATGAAAAAATAATTTCAAGGCAATTTACGTACATTATGAAAAAGCGAGAAAATTATATTTGCCTTGAGGTGAATCTTGGGTAACCGCCATCTAAGTCAAATGCATGAATATAAACAATAACGTGTTCAAAGGGCAGATACTTAAAGCGTTTGAGGTAATAACAGTTGCTTTATTTATATGCAGCACGTTTTACACTCTATTAAACTTTAGCTCTCGACGTTCGACATTCCCGTTGTTGATACGGCAATGTTTGGTTACTATAACTCTAATAATATGATGATGGTTGTTGTAACATGGACGGTTGTGTTATGTGAATTTATTACACATAAAATTGTTGCAATTGTCTGCAATTTAACAAACTGTCAAAAAGCACGATTATATGAGATTGTCGGGCAAACGTAAAATTACAAAAATAAAACAAAAATGTTATTTCTTTTCCCAAAATGAAGGGTGAATTTATTTGACCTTAACTTTTTCTTTTTTAGTGTAAAATTGGATGATTACAGCATTGCAGGGCGTCGCGTACCAGCCATGACGACATGAATTTGACAGCATAAAGCCAATCTAATGTTAGCCTTAAGCTATAACATCTGCAAGGGAGAAAAAAAAATGTCATAACAAACGCCACTAAAGCGATAGAAAAACAAAAAAGAAAAAAAGGCAAAGTAAGGAAAAATCAAGGGAGACATCGAACTGCCTCGATAATGTGTAGCTATCAATTCTATGATGCTATAATGCCGGCGGCAATAACTCAATTTCAGCAAATATCCTGTTTTCCTTAAAGTGTTTTTTTTTTTCCTCTTTCTGTTCATCGGCAACTTATTGAATATTGTAGAAAAGTTTTTATTCGCATCCTCCAGATTAATAGAAAATCCATGAATGTAATACATATTGAAAGACAAGAGACTAGAAAATTGTTAAACTTTACATCATATTGTATAAGATTTTTCAAATATATGTTTAGGAATACCGGGTGTCCTTATGGATTAAATCCATGTAATCTCTTTGATCTGCAGATAGATGATGTTTTGCTCAAATTGTAATCAAGTCATCTGCTAGTGCTAATCGGAAGAAAACAAGCCTGAAGGGTAACACCGAAATTAGCAGAAGGCTCCAGCCCAAGTTGAATATCATTTCCGGGATGGCTTTTATTGCAGATGCACGGACATAGCAAAAATGTATCATCTTCGAGACTATCTTTCACAAAACACTTTCTAACTGCTTCGTAGCTTACTGCATTTCCACTTCAAGGCAACTTAATCATTTCCATAGATTCAGTTGCATCTCTTCAAATTTAAAACAAAATAACATCCAAGGACGTAAGTGACATCGATCTCGCTGTACTTTGATATAGACTGAGCGACCACTTGTAACCAACACCAATGCCAAAGTGATCCATATCTGGGGAAACTGGGGAAAATTAGAGCCGACAGGTAGATTTTGTAAAGCAACAAAGATCAGCGCAGAGAACTTATTTATAGACTTATTTCATTCTCTATATATACAAACACGTGTTCCGCTTTCATTTACTGCTTTTTTTCCCCAGGAGGTTGTTTCAAATATCAGCCAAATCAGTGCTGGTGTTTGCTGACAGTTCAATATATATATACACACGAAAGGGTGTATAGGCTGTAAGTGAATTAGTCACGCATTTTTACGTAAAGTTTCGCTTGTATTGACTTCATCACGCAAATAGCTTTCTTACATGACACTCCGGCAACTTTATATTTCCCTAAGAGGTTTAAAGGAATCCAGGGCGGGAATCTCTCTATAATATGACATCTTAAAACTTCATTTGACAAATGATAATGTCTTTGTTACTAGTAGAGTATAATGTCATTTCAATGATATATTGAACAATAACATAACATGATGCGGGCATTAACATGTTTTGCCAAATAAATTTTGCTTTTTTTTTTGCTGCGATTCTTATGACTTTGACAAACGATTTATACCCATCCATATATGGGGGGAAATACCTGCAAAGGTAGTGTATTTTCCTGCTTGGTCTTTAAAACTTTACATTTTCTAAAATTAGGTTGTAAATATTTTTCTTCCTATTATGGAAACCTGGAAAAGGCTGAATGAGAGCAAATAGCTTTACTGAACCGCAAGTGTTCTTTTCACTCACAAGAGTCTTAATGCCGTGAAGAAGGAAGGGCATTAAATTTCTGCAAATGTATGGACAAACATATTCATGTTGAACGTCGTACGGTATAGTAGTGCGAACAAGTGACTGCAAAAAACGTTCACGACATTGTCCTGTTTTGCAACTAATTGCATAAAATTCTCAAATTTCAAGAAAGAAGTCAACGAGACATCGTTACGTAATTGTAGCCCGTATTTTAGTTCGTACTAAAAGGAGAGAGAGCGAGATATATGATGAAAAAAGAGTAACTGCATACACATTTAAAAAAAAAAAATTAAAAATTTTATGCGAATGTTGTTATTAGGTTAAAGAAAAAGTTATAGGTGACTTAGGGTATCGTGCTGTTCTTTGGTTATGTAATGTTAAAAAGGAAATACTTGCTTAACTTGCCCTAAAAGTAAGCTCGGTTAAGTAATCTAAACACTGGTTATCTCATATGTATCGTTCTTGGTAAGAAGCCTATTCTTCTTCTAGAAGAAGCGGATCCATCTACAACACGGTAGATAAAAATATTTAAAAGTACTTTCTTTTACAATCGGGCTTAAGGCATGATATGAGAGCCATTTTTATGGCCCTTGAATAAAAAACTTTTTTTTTCACAAGAATCGGTGACGATCTCTTATAAAAATAGGACATTCGCGAAATTTGAGAATCATAATGAGGTCTGGCGTTACCAGCCGAAAGACGAATAAACTCTTGGAGCTAAAATGGAGTAAAATCATAACATCTGTGTGTCATTCTTTTACGGCCTCTTTTACACAGACATCATTATAATTTTCCCGCCAACTTATATGAGTCCGTTTTATACGAATCCATGTTGTAAGGGCGTCCACACTATTATATTAGCCGGCAGGGATAGACTACGGCCTCAATTGTCCTAAAGTTTTGAGCTTTCGTACAAACTCGCAAAGAAAAGAATTGAGAAGATTTTACATACAAAATAGATCCCTTCCATTTAACGGCTTTCTTCACGCCCTGTGGCTCGTTCTTTTTTCGAAATTGAAAAGATTTTTATTTGAAATTCTTCTATAGCATTAGTATGCAAGATGCCGCCCATGAATTGAATGCACCAAAGCGTCGCAGCAAACAAAACAATAACATTGTCTGGAAATCTTCAGAAAACGGTTACTCGAATAGTTAAGCATGAATCCAAAAAAAAAAAAATATTAAAAAACTTTTCCTAATCCTTGAAAAAGTTGCATATGTTCTTACTTCCGTCTGCCGCATTGTGTAAAATCTCCAAAATTACGCAAGCGACGGAGAGCATGTGTTTAGGGCGTTGTGAAAATGTTTCGGGAGCTTTGCAACGACCTAATATTTTTATTTAAATACGAATACAACTGAGCGCGCACGTAACATGGCATATAAATATCTTTTCAGTTGGGTGAAAGGATAGATTTTTGTGGTATCAAATAAATTTGATAGTGCACACATTTTTGCGAGAAGTATAAAGAGCATATCACACAACTACATTCATATGTATGCGTATGTGCAAGTGTGCAAGTACATAAACAAGCAAACAAACAACCAAACAGATAGCCAGTTAGCAGACATTGCATCATCAGTTAGTGATGGAAGTTCGGTGTGGCAGCCTTTCTCTTTTTAATTTGGTATGTATATATTTGTGTGTGCGTGTGCGTGTGTGTGTGTGTGTATGTGTACATACATGCCACTAAAATTTAACTAGCGCGTTTTTGGTTGAAAAGGTATTAAAACAATTTCTAAATACTGCATTAACACGTTAGATATGTTGCGTATATGTATAACCTACGGGTATACAGATGTATGTGTGTAAATTATATATATATATATATATATGCAGTTACCAAGAGTTTACCGGTTTATATATGTTTTATAATTTTGCATTAGTGAATGTATGAATGCATTTAGCTATTTTTTGTTCGTTTTTTTTTTTCTGGTTTTCAATGGAGGAAATGTTTGTACATGTGTTCTCTACGTGTGAAAAACATGCATATTTTGGCGGCAAGAGCGTCAACATATTAAAACGCTTGCGTTGTTAATTGTGCGAACTAAATTTTGAAAAGAAATATTAACCGTGGAGAAAAATTGTTCCGGAAACCAGTCACATAATAACGAAATAACAATATTGTTATTGCAAGAATTTTTTTTTTTCGTTGCCCCAAACGCCTCTCATTAGCGGTGCTTTCGAGCGGAAATAAAATATGAATATATGTCATTTATTAAACAGTAAATATTTGTTATTTTCTTGTCAAAGCTAAAAAGGTCCTACTAGTAAAGGGAAGCCAAGTGAAGGAACGAATTTCGGTTTAGAGGATCGAAGAAATACCAGCATAATAATTTTAATTGTGACCTAAGTAGACGTTGATCTGAGATGTGAAAGCCACTATTGAAGAAAGGAAATTCGGGTTAGCACATCGAAGGAATAGCAGCGGAATACAGTTTGCAAATTTTGAAATATATTAATGAAATTTCGTACACCGACATATTGTGGCCCAAGGACGAATACTATTGAAAACGGTTCAGATCGGAACACTTTTGCGAGCGCTACCCATACAAAGTCTTATTTTGAAAAGGTCTTAAACAAACAATTATATTAAGCGAGCTGTAGGTGTAGGGCATCCTACTATGATGTTTCCGCTTATTTGGTTTGGTAATTGTAGCTGAGCGATTGCATGTTATTTTTCTTTCACGAGCGAATATAATTTTCCAATTTGTTTTTATTTGTCTTCTTCAGATCAAGTATCGCAACAAGCGACGCACACCTCGCAAACAACTTATTTAGAAAAATAAACTTGAATTAAGAAAGTTTAAACATTCAACTAAACTGGTTCAACCACCCAAGCGAAATATACGTATATGAGTATTTAAGGGTTATTAGTCGTTATAAATAGTCTACATAAGCGAATGACATTTTCCTCTTTTCGTAGTACAGCACGCAACGAATTGCTTTAAAAATGCAAAACACTTCAAACTTAGTTAATAATCAAAATTTATTGAAAACTTTTCCTTTTTTAAAAAGTTCCACATTCAAGTTTTCTTTTCTTTTAAATTGTCATACTATCCGCTTTACTTATTTCATAATTTTTGCTTAATTCTTATTAACTTGTACAATAGCATATACCACGACTGCAATATCCGCTCTTTTTGCTCTTCGCATTGCAATGAGCCACACAAGCCCATTCGCCAATGTTACACGTTACACGTTTATCACGTTTCAATTCGCCCGTAACTTGGTGCGCATCAACTAGTGTTAGGTCTTGCTCTAAAGTTTCCAAATTGGTTCTTGTCTCGTCACCGGCAGGCAAAGCAGTAACGGCGACCGCAAATAGTGTAATTAAAGCCAGAGCTAAATAAAATTTCATTTTCAAATCTTTACTTTCGACGCTTAGTGTTAAATGCTTAATTGATGACTGTCGCCAAATTAAAAAAAATCCGAAATATTTATATGAAATTAGATCACATTTGTAACATTTTTAGGTACTTTTTTGCTTATGGGAAATTTACGCTTTAATCAAAAAGATGCCTCCATGTAAACATTGCAATAAAAACCGTTGATAATAATAATTGTTTTTGCATTTGTATTGAATAGTATTTCAGATAATAAGTTGAGGTATTTTTCTTATCAATTGATTGACTACAAAGTTTTTAAATAGAAAACAAATGGAAATAACTACGAGTTAGGGACTTTTTCTTTTCTGAGATCAACGCCATTGTAAGCATCTGCTTTATTGTTTAGTAGGGCGGTAATCATTATTCATACACACACTTGACAGCTGAGAACTGTTTTCTAGATTTGCTTTTTACATTGAATTTGGGCCATGGAATGCTTCAAAGGAAGATATACAGAAGTAGCAAAGATAGCAAACGTCTTTGCCGTTTGTGGTTGCGCGAAAATATTGAACGGGCTCGCCCCAACTTTACATTGATTCCTGCTGAAGCTTCCAAATTTTCAAGAGTTTCAAGGAACAAAACAACGGAGCCATCGAAATCAACGTAAAGATCATGAATTATATAGAAGTTGTGAGGTGTCTGCCATTACAGTCACAATGGCACAACTACTGTAACCTTAATATTAACGAATGATTGTAGAGTAAAAGAGAGTACAAACTGATATTGAATGTGTGTGAGATTCCTGTTTGTAAATGAAGATACGTATATGTGAAATATAGAACGCCTTTCATCACTTTTTTTTTTTTTTTAAATGGAAAATCAGTCAAGGGTGTTTCCCTATTCATGAAACGAAGGAAGGTGACTGCAGCCTAAGAGGTCCGTGTGCTCAATCAGTAAGTGTTATCCCTCTACCGGCTGAACATTCATTATAGCTGCGAGCAAAGTGAGCGCTGAGATTTGAACCCGCGTGCCCGTGACTTGTTGTTTGTGATACCTGCAACAGTAAGTCTTTCCGGGTATACGTAACACCCATAAGGGTTTAACAGAGACTGACTTCTTATTACACCGAAAATGATTCTCAACTATGTTTGTTTATCCGTGTAAACTTGTGGTCAACATACGAGTCGTAATTTTCGAAATATTTTGGATACGTTTTGTGACCACTTGATGGGTTCAATTGAAACCAAGTTCGATCAGCCCACTTTTTCGCATCTCTCCACCATCACCACTTTGAAAAGTTTTTATAAGAAAAGAATTGTTAGTGTAAAAATGTCTCCACAAAAATCGCTAAGTAACGGCCCTTCGGCATTCTAAATTGATGTGAAATATTGATATCGGATGAGGCAATCTTTGGCACCTCTTCCCATATAAACTCTCCTACAGAGGATCTAATTTTCCATATTTCGTGTCGATAAATGGCCCGTAATAGTAATTTGATATATAAATTAACCTTACCAAAAATATGGTGCATGTAAATCTACCTTTCGTACCCCGCCCCGTATAAAAGTTCTTAAGCCATCATATGTTAAAAATATCCAACTTTAGATGGAAATTGCTTTATAAGAGTGATTTAATGGAAAACTTAACTGTGTCAAATGTGGGTAAAGCAGGACAATTTTTGCATATTACCGTATATAAGGATAAGGACCTCATAAGCCAAAGTGGTCTAACTATTAATATTTTACAATGAAAATTAATCCATAATAAAAGTTCGTAATGAAAACTAGCTGTGAGAAAAGTGGATCAATGGAAAGCTTCTCATGAAAAGTAGGTGAGAAGGTTTATTTTGTAGCTTTTTAAGACTTCGTAAGTTAAATTTGTTAACTTTGCGTCAAGTTAGTTTACGTTTTCGAAACCCTTCAATGTAAGGATTTTTATCCAACCTACGCTTCTTTAAGGAAATTATGTACAATTTTTGCTGTATTATCACGGAAATGAATGAATAGAATTGTATTTTATAGGCGGCCTTACTCGTCTTGCTATGATAGTTCACTTGTATTTTCATTTTATTTGGGTGAATTAAAAATTTTTCATGGAAAAGTGGATCAAATTCGCTCGTAGGCTTAAGAGCGCTAACCATAAGACTAAAAGATATCCTAATGGTTGTTTATTGCTTCTATAGATCTATGAATTCATTCATGAAATAGACGAACACACGTTCTAGACAATTTGTTCATGTTTCTTTGAAACATGCACGAAAAACTTTGCTTTAACAAAAAGCTCTTAACGAGTCACTGGCTGAAAAAAAATTTTCGTTTTTCCATCAACAAAGTACTAGAAAGGAAAGCAGTCAGAGTAGTTTGCATTACAAAAAGTTACAAAAAGTCGGACGCATATATACGCAAAAAGTTATGTAAAATATACACACATACATACATACAAATAATTAAAAATAAGAATATGCAAACAAGAAAAACCAAAAGGTCGTTAAAAGTCGAGTATAAAAATGTTGACAACTCAAAGCAATAACGACAACAACGATAATACAATTTTCTGTGTAGTTTCAGAAATCGCAAAAAAATAAAAGCGAATGTCTACATCTGCACACATCTACCCTGGGTTTTGATCATTTCTTTTGCAGTAAATACGTAGAAAAAATTCAAATGAAAAGTCAAGAGGCAAAAACCGTTAAATCCGTTGTAAGTTGGAAACATCATTTGCTGTTTGGTTTTATTTTGGTAAGATAAAAAGCATTGCTTTCTTAAATATATATACAAAATAAATATTTCTTTAGATTTATTTTGTCTTATTTTTTTTTTTTTATGTAACCGTGGATTCCCTGCATATTATTCTGAGAGCAAAATAGACTTGCGTTGTTTAAAGAAATTTTATTCCTTTTGAATATCACGTATGTTATATAACTTCATAATTATCTTACGTTGGTTACCGTTTCACTTATTGTGGTGTCGTCGAAAGCTTCCAGAAAGATATCGACAGCAGCTAAACGCCGAAATGTATGTTCATGGAAAAATCATTACTTATAATTGGCGACAATTAGAAATTGAACAACAAGACGGCGTATTTACCATAGTCTATGGGTGCATAGTATTGGCTCCCATCCAAATGGAATCGGTTCACTCTGTACAAAAAAAGCATTTAATTTCTCTGATAAATGTTTTACTTTAGAACTCTTTCAATATCGCAATTCAAGATCAGAGAAAAAGAGATCAGATGGTGCTTTGCAGATTTCGTGGAACACATGATAAGCTATTGAACATTACAAGATTAAGTATCACTTTTTTACTCTTGAGAATGAAAAGACTAAATTGTTGACTGTTGTTCGTTACGGCCTACAAAGACGTCAAAGCTGAAAGGTGCGATCACAGAGGGGAGACTACTTTTTGCATTTCGCTTAAGCACTCTACGTTAAAATTTGAAAACAATACTTTATAGTGTTATTCGTTGGGAGCATAGATAAAAGCTGAAGTACATGTAGTCTTGACTACTATGAAATCCGGAATCCATTTAAACATGTCCATTTGTTCGTCTGTCCAGGTCTCCGTTTGCTCAAAGGAATAGAAATAGATGCCGGCTTTAAATTTAGCAAAAGAATTGGAAGCTCCTGCTCACAAGTTGGTATTAAAAATGCGCCCAATCGGAAAAAGAGCCCTACAGCCCTACAGCGCAACATAAACTGGATAGCACAATTAGGACACCGAAGTATTTTACACTCCTCACTCATAAACTACAATGGACACACGATGGAAAAAAACAGTCATGCCCGCTGTATCAAAATTCAGTCTTTTTTTTAACCCCTTCTAGGGTAAACGTAAAGGGCAAAAAAATTCAAATCAGGTCTTCAATGATTTCGCAGGAATTCAAAGAGTTTAACCAGGAAGCTTGGAAGTTCTCGATATAATCGGAAATTTGTATTGTCGCATTTCCATCTGCCTCGGCCTTTGTAGAGCTGTCTCACTGGTGTGAAGCTTATTTAGAAAGAGTTCCATGAAACTTGTTCATTTCACTTTTTGGCCAGAAATCCGCAGAAACGGTACCAATGGTTTAACAGAAAAAGGGCAAAAGCTTATTGACTAAAATCGCCCATACTTAGTGTAGTAATGTACTTTTAATATAAAATAAAGACAGGTTTGAATTTTGGCAAACAAATATCCCAAACTTTCCCCTTTTTATGTGTTATATGTGTACATAAAAATATAAAATTATTTTATTTTTTGCCTGCTGGACAGTAGGAGAGAAGAATTTCGTCAAAAAGAAAGAGTAAAATGTCGATACAATGAATATTACACGAGTGATATTTAATTCAAAATATATGAACGGGATTAGGGGAACCATTATGTAGAAGCGAATAAAACTTTGTAATGACAACTACCTTTCGGATTTAAAGCTTATAAGCACACATTCTTATTTACTTTGCATATCATTTTTTTAACTTCATTTAAATTCTATGAAGCTTGACAATTTTCGTTCGCTACACACACTTCACTTTTCCTTATAGAAAATGTAACACAACAAAAGAGCACTTTTAGCTTTGATATGAATTGTTAAATATGTACGTTGTCTGTCCATGCGTGTATAAGTATGTACACAAGTTCTATGGCACTTTGTGGTATTTTGTGATTAACATTCTGTAATCTGGAAATGTGGTAGCACAGCAATTCTGTCTTAAAATGCCTGAGTGGTAAACTCAGCAATACTCTTTGTCTGTATGCAAGTAATACAAAAACTAATATTATTTGCCAAAGCACTAAAATGAATGATTACTTTTCTTCCCAAAAACAAAAAAAAAAAAAGGAAAACGAAAGAAAAAGAAAGAAAAAATATGAAAAGAAGCGCAACTTAGCAATAATTGCGTTGAAGGTAAAAAAGAGATATACAAAATTGAATAATCAATTTCATAGAAAATTCAATTTAAATTCGTCCACTACAAGAATAAATTTCTTACCAAGTCAAATTAATGAAACTCGTTAAATAGTTGTAATAAAGAGTTGATTGAAGCTCCCGGGGGAAAAGGCAATCTTGTAATGCACCACGTATTGTTTGCCATGAACTAAACTAGTCTAGAAAGTATGGAGCTTAATGATCAGCAGAACATATATACATACCTACGCACTAGGGAGAAAAATTGGAA